GGATGGCAGAACGCATACCCGCCTTGCTTACACAACCTTCAGACCACACTTCCCCATTTCTCCTTCAGGCTCTGCAAAACCCCGGTGTGTATCAGAACCTACCTCTCTCCCTGGGGGTGGGTCCCTCACAACGATCACACTCCCCACGACACACACCGTCATTTCTCCGAGCCGTATGCTCATAGAAGCACACACATCAGAAGGAGAATTTATTTATTGACCTGTTGTCTTTCTTCCTGCTCTGCCAGAAAAATTTCCTGAACTTTGAAGGCTGACTACCTAATCCTCTTTCAAGGAGAGGAGGAAAACCTACATATTTAATGTCTCACTGCCCTTAAGGAAATAAAAAGGGGATTCTTAGAGGATGTAAAAGCGCTGAAGGGTGTGCCGGAGGAGCCGGAGTGGGAAGGTTCGCTGAGGTGAGGGATCACCTGAGGTGTAAAGAATGATGGATGGATGTTACTCAGAGGTGGAGGTAAACAGGGCTTCTAGTAGGGCGCAAAGACTACAACTGCAAGGAGAAGCTGTAAAATGTACACATGAAATTCAACAGAGGGGATGCAACTGAGCGGGTACACGGAGAAGAAAGGATGGTTATGCAAATAGAAGGGGGAAAAAAGAAACCTACAGCAGAAGAAAATAAAACAGGAGAGGTGGGGCTTCCACTGATTTAGGATGGTGACAGCAAGTCATGAACTGAGAAGAAAAATTAAGCCAACTAAAGGCTAAAATTTTCTAAGGAAAAGAAGACTCTGTTGATAGTTGATATAGCTACTCTATCTTTTCATTCTTTCTCTCTTTCTTTTTCTTCCTTCCTCTCTCTTTCCTCCTATTAATATCTTGTATTATCTATCTTGTATTACCTGTCTATCTATCTATTGGGGCTTCCTGGATGGCTCAAGAGGGTAAAGAATCAGTATCTGGGAAGCGGAAGGGGCGGCCAGCTGCTCGCGGTGCGGAGAGCAGGGTCAGGATGGACGAGGACGTGCTAACCACCCTGAAGATCCTCATCATCGGCGAGAGTGGCGTGGGCAAGTCCAGCCTGCTCTTGAGGTTCACAGATGATACTTTTGATCCAGAACTTGCAGCAACAATAGGTGTTGATTTTAAGGTGAAAACAATTTCAGTGGACGGAAATAAGGCAAAACTTGCAATATGGGATACTGCTGGTCAAGAAAGGTTCAGAACATTAACTCCCAGCTATTATAGAGGTGCACAGGGGGTTATTTTAGTTCATGATGTCACAAGAAGAGACACCTTTGTTAAACTGGATAATTGGTTAAATGAGTTGGAAACATACTGCACGAGAAATGACATAGTAAACACTCTAGTTGGAAATAAAATTGATAAGGAAAATCGTGAAGTTGATAGAAATGAAGGCCTGAAATTTGCACGAAAGCATTCCATGTTATTTATAGAGGCAAGTGCAAAAACCTGTGATGGTGTACAGTGTGCTTTTGAGGAACTTGTTGAAAAGATCATTCAGACCCCTGGACTGTGGGCAAGTGAGAACCAGAATAAAGGAGTCAAGCTGACACCCAGGGAAGAAGGCCAAGGAGGCGGAGCGTGTGGTGGTTACTGTTCTGTGTTATAAACTCTGGGAGACGCCATCTCTTGCCTATTTGATCAGATAATGTCATCTTTCTGTATATAAACTCTCTAACTGCTATTTTAGGGACCTTGCAGTTTGCACATATTTGTTTTGTATCATGGCAGTAAATATTTGTGAGAAAGCCCACTCATTGACTTTTCCAGGTAAAAC